GTGGAAAAATGCTTTGTTTTGAAAGATCTGATTGTTCGCTTGGATAAAGAAAATAAGATCAAACTTGAAACCGGAAAGAACCCAACAGTCGCATGCTCGATGGTTTCATTTGGATCATTTGATCCAATTCCCATTCCAAGAAAGAAACAAATATTCTTTGATGTACACAATGCCTGTAAATCCTCAGTTGAGGAATTTGGACCTCAACTCCCGAAAGGAGCCATCCTAGCAAAATTTGAAGTAGACGGAAAAATCACCATCAGTTATATCTATCCGGGGATGAATGGACCAAGCGCACCCAATCATCCAACTTTCTATGAAATTATGACGGGTGACTTGGATGTTTGGGATTCCGACTCAGAACTTGAAGACAAGATCGGTGACGGCTGGTCTACCTTCATAAAGAAGAAAGAGAAATACATAAAGCCAAACAAAATAGGTAAAATATTACCTTCTACGTCTCTTGTAGGAACAAAGTTGGAGGAATTGAGTACGAAAATTCAACCCAATGGAGAAGAAACGCTAGAAGAAGATCAGGGGGCATGGACCCTAGTGAAAAGACGTCGTCGGAAGGCTCCACGACTCCCAAATTCTAACTTTTGTGACAAGAAATCAAAACCAAGGAACGATCAAAGAAGGAGGCATGAAGTCAAGCCAAGAGTATCTACTAAATCAACGGAGAGGGAGCAGCTCCACACATTCTTCTTAGACTACCGACCTTGGGTGATTATTTTCCTAAGGGTTTCTTTGATAAAGAATGTCTAACCTCCAACGTAATCAATGTGAAGGAGAAAGATGAAATGAAGAACGTATCAAAGCAGACTTCAAAACAGAAGAAAATTATTTCACGACCCCATAATATTCCTGCCAATACAAGTCTAGTAGAGTCTCTTGCCCTTCCCTTCGATGATCGGATGGCCTTGGTGGCAGCATTAATCGATCCCGAAGAATACGAAGGCAAAGTTTTAGAACATATTGGAGCCACATCTCCTCAAGACTGTATGGCCGCCATAACATTCGACGATGGAGATTTACAGCTGGGATCACGTCCACATAATAGACCACTGTATGTCAGCGGTTATATTCGAGAGTGCAAGATAAATCGCATGATGATCGATTGTGGATCTGCTGTAAATATTATGTCTGTCAAAATAATGAAGAAAATTGGAATCAATGTTGGTAATCTATCCAGAAGCAAAATCATGATTCAAGAATTCAATCAAAAAAGATCAGTGAGCCATTGGCATGATTCGCCTAAAGCTGCAAATAGGAGAGTTAATCTCCTCGGCTCTTTTCCATGTCATTGATGCTAAAACATCTACGAGTTACTCCTTGGACGTGTTTAGCTGCACGAAACTGGAGTGGTGCCTTCGACTTGGCACCAATGCTTCAAATATAGCTGAGACGGAGAAGTCAAATGTGTGGTAGCTGAGTCCAAACCTTTTCTCGAAGAAGAATCTCATTTTGCCGATGCCAAGTTTTACATGGAAGGTGAAGAATGTAATTCTTCAGGGTTGACCATGTCTGGATTCAAAATCAAAGAAGATACAAATGATCATGATACATCTAGTGCTGCTCAGTCTCATCAACTTATCAAAGATAAGTCAAAATTTACATCCAAAAAAATCTCTAAAGGCAAAGAACCTCAAGTAGAATGAACCATTGTTGAGGTATTGAGAAAAGAGTTAACTCTTCCAATACCTAATATCCCAAAATTGCTTCTGCCCCACCAACTTATGGCGGGCACGAAAGGACATAAATCTACATCAGAGGTTTCAACATCTGTTCCGGACATATCAAAACTCTATATTTTCAGCTCATCCAAACAAGAAAAGAGCTACTGAATCAAAACAAACTTTCAAAGGATGTTACAATCCTCAACTTAAAAAGTTGTTTGAAAATGCTGGGTTTGGAAAAGGAGAGCCTCGTAAATTAGGTGATCTTGATGCTATCCTTTCAGAAGGGCATCCCCCTTCTAATTCTGATGGAGTCTTGGTGTCCCGACCCAGGTATGGTTTGGGATATGATCCCAATCCACCAAGAAAGATTAAGGTCAAGAAGGTTTCCTCAAACCCCATCATGATTCAAATTTACGAAGTTGCAGAAGAGAAATCTGAACAGTCGAAACCTTCAGTGTTCGATCGAATTGAAAATGAGAATGCCAGAGTTTCGGTGTTTAAAAGGTTAACAGGAGAACCCTCCCCAATAGTTGATGTAAAAGGTAAAGTTTCCATCTTCCAAAGATTAAGCGAAGATTCTTCTTCTTCTATCCAAATTGATAGGAATGCACAAGCTCCCCAAATATCATCCTAAAGACAATCTGCATTTTCTCGACTTGGGATTAAAACTTCTGATCCAAGCCTAAAGCCACAACGATCAAGAAGAAGACGAAGACAGCAAAAAGTTTGTCCGTCCCAAAAGGAGAGTGAAGAAAAAGAAGAAGTCTCTGTCAATCACATAGCCTATGAAGAAGCTCTCGATTCAGACTCCAAGTCCAAAAGTTCTGTCACAACTGATGAACCTGAACCAGCCCTACATACTTTTGAAGAAGGTGGACAAGCTACTATGGATGACTTGAAACAATTGAACCTGGGGACCGAAGAAGACCCGAGACCAGTATTTGTACGTACCCTTCTCAATCAAAAGGAAGAATCTGAGTACATTAGTTTGCTTCACGAATACAAAGACGTGTTTGCATGGTCTTACAAAGAAATGCCAGAGTCAAATCCTAAGGTTGCAGTGCATCATCTTGCAGTAAGACATGGAGTTCGACCGGTCAAACAACCTCAAAGAAGATTTCGACCAGAACTGATTCCTCAAATTGAAATGGAAGTCAACAAACTTATTGAAACTGAATTTATACACAAAGTGAAATATCCAACATGGATCGCAAACATTGTTCCTGTCAAAAAGAAGAACGGACAATTACGAATTTGCGTTGACTTTCGGGATCTGAATCAAGTATGTCCGAAAGATGATTTTCCACTTCCAATAACAGAGTTGATGGTGGATGCAACTATCGGATATGAAGTCTTATCTTTCATGGACGGATTTTATGGATACAATCAGATACGGATGAACCCAAAAGACGAGGAACTCACATCATTTCGTACCCCAAAAGGCATATATTGCTACGAAGTTATGCCTTTTGGATTAAAAAATGCGGGGGCAACCTACCAGCGGGCAATGCAAAAGATTTTTAATGATATTCTCCATAAGAACGTTGAATGTTATGTGGATGATCTTGTTGTTAAAACAAAAAGACGTGATGATCATTTATAAGATTTACGTGATGTTTTCAAAAAACTTCGAAGACATCAGTTAAAGATGAATCCATTGAAATGTGCATTTGACGTCACCTCTGGAAAATTTCTCGGTTTCGTTGTTCGACATCGAGGCATTGAAATAGATCGATCAAAAATTGAAGCTATAATCAACATGCCAGAGCCAAGAAATGTACGTGAGTTGAAAAGTTTTCAAGGAAAACTTGCATACATTCGAAGATTTATCTCTAATCTAGCCTGACGTTGTCATCCATTCAACAAATTGGTGAAGAAAGATGTACCATTCGAATGGGATGACGCTTGTCAAAATGCTTTCCAAAGCATTAAACAATATTTCTCTCGTCCACCAGTACTCACAGCTCCAGTTCCAGGGAAGTCGCTGACTCTTTATGTTGCAGCACAAGAATATTCTCTAGGGGCACTTCTTGCCCAAGTTAACGAAGAAGGAAAAGAGAATGCACTCTATTACTTGAGCCAGATACTGGTAGGCGCTGAAATGAAGTATTCGCCTATTGAAAAAATGTGTCTCGCGTTAATCTTCACAGCTAAAAAGTTGAAGCGTTATATGCTATCACACACAATCAATCTTGTTTCAAAGATTGATCCATTGAAGTACATAATGTCCAGACCAATTCTTTCTAGAAGGATTGGAAAATGGGCATTACTGTTGTCTGAGTTCGACATCAAATTCATTCCACAAAAGGCCATTAAAGGACAAGCTTTGGTGGATTTCCTTGCTGACCACCCAATTCCAACGGAATGGGAACTTCAGGAAGACCTTCCTGATGAAGAAGAAATTCATCGAAATCATACCATCATGGAGGCTATACTTCGACGAGACAGCCCGAAATTATAGTGCCGGAGCAGGAGTAGTCTTCATCACTCCTCATGATCTCATCATGCCTTACTCATTTGCCTTAACAGAGAAATGCTCGAATAATGTGGCAGAATATCAAACTCTTATCATCGGCTTAGAAACAGCTTTAGATATGGATATTCACCAGCTGGAAGTTTTCGAGACTCTAAATTGATAATCAACCAACTTTTAGCTGAATATGAAGTCCGTAATTCAGACTTGAAGCTATATCATGAGCATGCAGCAATGCTTATGAGACAATTTGATTCGATAAAAATCAAATTCGTCCCGAGATGTGAAAATAAGGAAGCTGATGCCTTAACTAATTTGGCTGCTGTTTTAGCTAGATCAAATGAAGAATTTTCCCACTCCATATCAATTGCTCAAAGATGGGTGCTTCCGTCATTGCTACCCAGTAATTTGGAAGAAAACAATAGTGTCGAAATAGTCGAAGATGAGGAAAGAGAAGATTGGAGACAGCCAATAATCGATTTCCTTCAACATAAAAAACTACCATATAATCCAAGGCAAAAAATAGAAATCAAGATGCGTGCCTCTCGCTTTATCTTTTATAAGGGAACACTTTATCGACGATCATTTGATGAAGTTCTCCTTCGATGCCTAAGTAATGATGAAGCAACACAGGTTGTGGAAGAAGCCCACTCTGGAATTTGTGGTGCCTACCAGTCTAGATCCAAACTCCATTTTCGAATAAAGAGGATGAGATATTACTGGCCAACTATGGTACAACACTCCATGGATTATGCAAGAAAATGTGAAGCTTGCAAAATCTATGGAAATTTCATCAATCAACCTCCGGAACCATTACATCCAACAATAGTTTCATGGCCGTTTGATGCATGGGTCTTGATGTAATTGAACCTATAACTCCAAAGTCTTCGGCAGGGCATGCATACATCATCGCGGGGACTAACTACTTCTCTAAGTGGGCCGAAGCCATACCATTGAAGGAAGTAAAGAAAGAAAATGTCGCAGATTTCATTCGTATCCAAATCATTTATCGATATGGTGTCCCGCGACATATCATAACTAATAATGGCAAGCCATTTTTCAATAGCCACATAAACAATTTATGTGCAAAGTTTGGATTCAAACAGTACAACTCATCCATGTACAATACGGCAGCTAACGGATTGGCAGAGGCCTTCAACAAAACACTATGCAGTCTGCTGAAAAAGGTTGTCTCCAAATCAAAAAGAGATTGGCATGAGAAAATCGGTGAAGTCTTGTGGGCTTATCGAACTACTTATCGGACTCCAACACAAGCCACTCCTTATGCCTTAGTATATAGAGTAGAAGATGTCCTTCTCCTGGAGTGTCAAATTCCGTCACTTCGAATTGCTATCCAAGAAGGCTTGACAACTGAAAAAAATGCCTGCCTTCGATTGGAAGAGCTAGAAGCTTTGGATGAGAAGAGATTAAAAGCACAAATGCATTTAGAGTGCTATCAACCTCGAATGGCCAAGTCTTTCAACAAAAAGGTGCGACCAAGATCATTTCAAGTTGGAGATCTGGTACTTTCCGTGCGCAGGCCAATCATAATCACAAGAAAAACAGGGGGCAAGTTCCAACCTAAATGGGATGATTCATTTCTTGTTACTCATACATTCACTAACGGAGCGTACAAGATCGTCGACAAAGATGGATTGCAAATCGGACCTATCAATGGAAAATTTTTTAAAGCGCTTTTACGCCTGAAGTTCTTTATTTTTAAAATTTTTCGTTATACAAAAAAAAATTGTGTTCTTTTAATGAACTACGTTCGACTTGATCCCGTTTGGGTACGTAGGCAGCTTGAATAAATTATAAATTCAAGTTCAGTCACAATTAATAAATTCATTCAATTTGTTTATCAATTGCTGTAAAAAAAAGCACAAGAAACATGAAAAAGAAAAGTTCATCCAAATAAAAATAGTAAGTCAAAATTCAAACAATATGGCCTTTAAAAAAAAGATCAGAAATTCATGACTTCATCAGAATTACTCGCTATTGATCACTCATAGGAAACTATCTTCAAGGGTCTTCCTTTTCTGGTCAATGGATACTATGCTAGCGACATCTCTAGTCTGTACTTCTTCCAATGCTGCCTTCTTGGTTCCAATCATACTTTTGTCTTCCTCTTGGGCTTGAAGTTTATGACGAAGTCCATCTAGCTCAAAGGTTAGCTCACTAATTTTGCCTCTCAACGAAGAACATGTGGAATCCTTTACTTCCAGTTGAATGTTCAAAAGTTTCAACTCCTCCACCTTTTCTTCAACGGTTGGACAATCCAAGTGCTGCTTTCTTTCAAACAAGAGTCAATTTTTTTCAAAAACACATCCATGCGTTTCATCAAAGGTGTTGGGTCTACGTGGAATGAGTTGATAATCACATTTTGAAGAATTAAATTATTTTCATCCCACCAATATCGAATATTGGAGAATCCATACTTTAAGACATCCTTAAAACATTTTTGGAGGTAATTATTCATAGTTTCTTGCAGAGCAGCCTTCAGATAATGAGACTCTTGGATAATTCCAGGTGGAGGAGCAGACATGAAAGAACAGGTTGGTGTAGCCCGATGATTATTTGTTTGTGAAGGTGGAATACTGACTAAAACCAACGAAAATGGAACGACAGGAACTCCTTGATTGATTTCTGAAATGTTAGCTCTCATAGTCCCTAAATTTACTTCATCTTCAGCATTAAAGTTGTCCATGATATGCACCAAAGTACCTCCATTGATGGTGCCTGGATATTTGCAAAGAAGTTCATGAAAATCATGAATACCATCTATTCCTTGAAGTGTATCGATTCGCTCGTCATTCTCGCCAGTCTGATCTTGCAAAAAGTTTGGATTCATGGAGAAATTTAGTTCTTCAGGGATGCTCGGAAAATCTACAAGAAATGGAGCATGGTTTCAAAAAAAGAAAAAAAAGTGCAGCAAACAACAACATGGCACATACCTGCATTTCGTGTCCTGGGCAACATGTCTAAAAATCTACCATCTGATGATGTGTTCAGGAGACTGAGGTTAATGCGAGAAGCTCCAACTTCACCTTTTGAAAGACTCGAAATAGCTTGAAGCGGCCTCGGTTCTATTGGTCGTTTGATTTTGTATATTCGAGAAAGAGGGGTTGAAATTGAAGATTGTGATAGAAAAATCAGATACAAACAGTACATAAAAAAAGGAAGAACTATACCTGATCTCCAGAACTTTCATCTTCTGGAGTCAAAGTCTTTCCTGGTGCTTGTGATGCTCGATCTCCAGGACTACTGTGATCTGGAATCAAAATTGCTTCTGGCACCTTATCAGCAGACTCAAAGGTGGTAGCAACCTTTGCCGGGGGAACTATAATTTTGATTCTCTTAATACCTATTTCATTTTGCTGGTTTAGATCTCTCTTTCGAGAAGCCTCTTCAAAAGCAGCATTTGGAGGGTTTAACCCTCTAGCTAAAACCCTGTTCGGAGTGGAGCCAAGAACAAAGTCACGACTCTCACTAAAAAATAAGACTTGCACCTGGACCTTAGTCAAGAGTGCTAACACTTTGCTATTCCACCAAGCTTGGTATTCAACATCAATGTTTTGATGTATATCCCTCACATACTCTGGAATATGAAATACAGACCCACTTTTTATCCGAGTTAGGGACAACCAAACCCGATACATGTCGCCTACACTGGGAGCAATATTCAACTTTCTTGGTGAACCGGGAAGTTTCTGTCTAAAGTCAAGCTGTCTCGCAAACCTGTGAGGATTATACGCCTCAAGAATGAAAGGTAAATTTCCTCGACGATAAGAGACAAATCCAGATCGAATACTCATCATGAATTCTAAAGTATCTGCAGACCTTGGTTGGTCATCCACACGTACATCAGGATGAGACAATGAGGGTAGTGGATTCCAGCAAAAGTTATCGGTGTTCATCGCTCCACGGATAAATTCTTGACAATCAACGACATTTTTCTCCCAAGATTGAAAAGCATTCAGAGTTCCAGCATATCTTCGAATTATAGGGCGATAATAACTCTTGTCTACATGAGTATAAACACCTCAGACAAAATAAGTTGTTGTCCAAGCATAAAAAAAATGTCCAGAAAATGAATGTGAAATTGAGCCAAGGTCTGAATTTGCCTGATAGTTAGATGTTCGTGTAAGTCCACTATAAATGCTCGCTAATATGGGTGGAACCAGACTATAAGTGTATCCGCCTGCCATTCTAGAAGATACTTTAAAAGTCTCGACTCTTATACTTTCGTCCCCAGATAGAAGAACGAAGCGACAGAGCCATAGGGAGAGATATGTTGCTATCTCTAATTCCTCTTCTTCTCCCATAGACAGAGATACTGGAAAATTGCCCCAATGCCGTCGATCCCTACGAGTAATGTCTCTCGGCTTGTTTGCCACCACGGGCCTCCGTATTTCCTTCGATGTTCTTTGATGACACCTTTTGAATGGATTTAAATTCATAACATTCTTATAATTTTTGTGTTGTCGAGGGTTTGGGACGCAACCATTCTCATGAAACCAAAAATTAATCCACTGTTCGTGAGTAACTCTGTCAGATTCATTCACGTGGGCAATCAATGCGAAAACATTAAAGAGATACAAACAAGACTTGGGAAGATGATCCATCAACTTTGAAAGGTTTGGGACCACTTCCTCATAATAATGACCCGTGATCGAAAGTCCACTTATCTCGCGAATGTCCCAAAGAGAAATGCCAATTTCACCATTGGCAGTCACAAAGGTGTTGGTTTTTGGACACCAAACTTTACAAAGAGCTCTGTAAATGGAGTTTGGGCGATGGTAATCTTTTGCAGCAGAACCAACTGCAAAAGCTAACTCTCGGAGATTCCTCTTGAGCAGAAGTTTATGGACCCACAAAGACCACTCCCAAAATTTTGGAAGAAAAGAAATCTCTCATCGACTGACCAGTGCGCTTCCCCATCGTATTTCTCTATTATCAATTCTCTCACAAATCACAGCCCTTGGGATGTACTCCGTGCTCTGGGAATGATGAGGCGGAAGACACAAAAAGGGAAGATGACTGCTAGAGCGATTGAACTTGCCAATATCCAAACTCTCGTAACAATCACTAATGGTGGACATATGCAACTCTGACAATGGCTCTAGAAGGTCGGGGGAAGGATCTGTCGTTAGCTTATGGACACTAACTTTAAGTTCACCTCGTACGCCGGTCTGGGCATGGTACTTCACATCAGTATCTTTGAAACGCAGATAACTTTTCCCTTGATTTTTAAACTCAACAATTTCGTGCATGTCAAAACACATTTTATCATCAGAACTTATTCCAGCCATATCTGCAACAAAAAAAAAAAAGAAAAAAAAAGTCAGCCAAAAAAAGGGAGGGCGATAAACCTCTCAAATTGGTTTATTGTTTAAAATCCCGAGTCTCCCAAATATGTAAGCAGCCTCTATAAAAAGTGTCTTGGATGATGGAAGGAATAAGTCCTTGTTCCTCAACACAAAGTGCTTTAGACGGTCGAAGGAGCCAGTCCTTGGTACTTAACATAAAGTGCCTTAGACGGTCGAAGGAACCAGTCTTTGGTCCTTAACACAAAGTGCCTTAGATGGTCGAAAGAACCAGTCCTTGGTCCTTAATACAAAGTGTCTTGAACAGTCGAAGGAGCCAGTCCTTGGTCCCCAACACGAAGTGTCTTAGACGATGGAAGGAACAAGTCCTTATTCCTTAACACAAAGTGTTTTGAAGATGGAAGGAACAGGTCCTTGGTCCTCAACACAGAGTGTCTTGAACTGTTGAAGGAGTCAGTTCTTGGTCCTTAACACAAAGTGCCTTGGACTGTCGAAGGATTCAGTCCTTGATCCTTAACACAAATTGTCTTGGACGATGGAAGGAGCAGGTCCTTGGTCCTTAACAAAAAGTGCATTGGATGGTGAAAAGTGACAGTCCTTGATCCTCAACGTGTACAGAGGTTTGCAATTTTGAGTTTATTGAAAAGTATGTAATTTCTGAACTCGTAAAATAATTGCAACAAAGAAAAAAAAAAGATTAACCTCTACACGCCAAGAAAAAAATAAAAAATAAAAAAAATTTGAACCTCAAAATCCTTGATTTGCTCCAAAAGGCTGAATCCATGCAACAACAAAAAAATGAAGAATGTGAGTTTCGATTTTATTAATAAAAAAAAGACCACACCAAAATAATAATTGCAACAAAAAAAAAGAAAAAGAAAACAAAACGAAAAAAGAGATAAAGTTTACGCGTAAAAAAAAATTTACGTGTAAAACGAAACCAAAAAATAAAAAAATTGTTTCTTTCAACGTTGGCAGAAACCAATGCAAATTGGTTGGTTTGAATTCTGCCAATCAAGAAATAATATGTCTAATAAAAAAAATAATAATAACATGAAAGCAAAAAAACAAATAAATAAATAAAATAAAAATTACAAGGTTTCTGCCAATTTGCAGAAACCGAGGAAACCAATTGGAATTAGTGCAATTGAAATTGGTGGATTGCACCAATTCCAAGGGTTAAATTCTCTATCACCTCGCCAACAGAAACCAAGAAAAGTTAAAAAATAAATAAATATATATAGAGAGAGGTTTCGGCCTTTTGGTTTCTGCACATAGCAGCAGAAACGTTTTTTTGGTTTCCGCTCTACTGCGACGGAAACCAAACGAAGAAATAAAAAAATAAAAAAAAACGACGAGAGAGAGAGAGAAATAAATAAATAAATAAATTTTTACCTCTCTTTGCAAGATTTAACAATCTTGTTTTCAAATCTCATTATTCATCCATATAAATAAATGGGTATCGGACCTTACCCAAGCCCAATTTATCATAAAACGCAAAAGGTCCGTTCAAATCAAATTTCTTATAAGTCGTATAAAATAAATAATCAAAATTCAACAAAAAAATAAAAATAAAATTCTTATTCTCGAATTTGGAGGATAAAATTTTTATCAAATTCACTCAAACGTTCCACATGTATTAATTTTAATAATGGGATGTTCGAGGTCGGAATAAAAAAAGAAATCAATCAAAATCGAACAAAAAAAATCGAAAGTCAAGATTTATTAATTTATTTATTGCATAATAAATAAATAAATCTTGAGGGGGCACTTGTAGACATAAAAAAAATGAATTGGGTCGATTTAAATAATCAGCCCAATTAAATTTATTAATGTCTTCGAAAGTCCATAAAACACGAAGGTCCATACCACATTTTAAAATAGATAAACATATAAATAAAAAATAATAATAAATAAAATCATAAATTACTCAATTATATCTTTTAATTAGAGATAATTGAGTGGTTACCAAAATTGGTCACAAAAGTTTCCCTATAAATAGGACCAATGGTCCATAAGAGAGAGAAAGCAAGCAAGAAAGAAAGCAGAAAACGCCACGAAGTGCTAAAGAAATCTCGAGGCTGAAAGAAGGGAAGAAATTCTTTCAAGGTTTAGTTCGATGAATCCCAAGAAGATTAAAATCTTCTTCGAATCAAACAGGTTCACGTCAAATCCAAGAAGATCAAAATCTTCTTCAAATTAAATCAAATTCAAGTCCAAGTCCAAGCCTCAAAATTCAAGTTCCAAACAAGTCAAATATCGACAAATCAAATTTTCAACAAATTATTGAAGATCAGGATTTAAGCCACGTGGCCCCTCGTCTTCAAATATTCAGATCATTAATCAGAGGATTTTACAATTTTGCACTTACAAGAAGGTCAACATCACTTGTATTTATCAAAATACAATTTGTAACGATTTCTGTATTTTAATACAGGAAATTTCGTCGTACAGCATGATTTTAATGGCTTCGATCGAACTCGAACTTAGATCTTGGCTTTCTTCCAACAATCTTCAATTCCTTGGTTCTAACATATAATCAGCTGGCTTTGAAGACTTCAATTTAAGCTCAAATTAGTCCTTAACTTCTCTTCAATGAACGTCAAATATTGGGCAATTTATGGCACAAGCCGGATCACATCAATACGTTGAATGAATTTAGGTCTTTATAAATAAAGATCATAATGTATAGCACAACCATTTAACCTATTGAAAGGATAAGTTTAGAGGTGGTTGATCCATTGTTGGAAACTATCCAGATATGTGTTAATTCCATGCATGTTGAATACTTGTGTGGGATGTTTTTGGCAAACAAGTGGAGATTGGGTGAAATCCATTTGCTAGGGGTTTGAATTCAATTATGTATCAAAAAAATATAAAAGGCATTGCACTAGCCGTGGCACTTAGAAAAAAGTTATCTACATTGTTGTGTGGAGCTGGTCTTAAGTAATTTGGCCCTATTCATCACTATTTTTTAGGAGACAATCTATCAGGGAAAAAGGCTACCTACAATGTAGAGTGAAAACTATCTTTGAAAATCAAATAAAGATCCAAAAAGAAAAAAGAAGGGACACAATAAAATAAAAACACTCCAAAGTGTGTTGAGGAAGTAGCAAAAAAATCATAAGCACTGCTTCTATCCAGCTAAGCCTTGGATACTTACTTTGAAATTTAGACTTCTGGTGGGGGTTATTATCCTAGTTGAAGCCTTCTTGGCTGAAACATTCAAATTTAAGGAAAATCATCACCTATTAAGATAGTGACTTTCATTGATGAAACCCAACCAAATTTGAGCTAGAAAGGAAAAGAGTGTAGTGTAATCAACTTTAGAATAAACACCTCAAGAATGTGATTGAAAAACAAGTTTAGGAATGTGCATCCCACGAGAGAGAGAAAAATATTTGACTATTAAGTGTCAGAATATAATCAATTAAAAAATTTATGATGATTTCATTGACTATGCGTGTGCGCACACATTGATCAAGCAGGGAGTAAATAAAGAATTAGTTTTAGTTATATTATTTGCAAACTTTTTGTGATGTATCAAACGATTTTGATGCTTGATGCAGTTCGACAAAGTTATCTAATACATTTGCGCGCGCGCGCGCGCGCACACACACACACACATATATATATATTTGCTTGTGTGTTAATAAATAGTCTTATTCAGGACGAACAAAAGTTTAAGTTTGGGGATATTTAATAAATATATTTTATGTTCTTGTTTGGATTTCTATTCTTATTTAATTATATATAAATTTAGCGATTATCTACTTAATTGTAGGACAATCTCTACTTCGATACATTTTATATGAAAAGGGGCTATTTGGAGCTTAATTGGAATTGATTTGAAACAATCGAATATTGATCGGATTGCAAGAGATCAATTGAAAATATTAATGGAGCATACGATACAAATTCATTAGTCACGGGAGTTAAATTCGATATTTGAAAAAAGTTTGAGGATTGATTTGCCAACTTTGAAACTTGTCTCAAGTCAATTGTTATGATTTTGGAATGAAGAGGACTTATTTGCAAAATAAAGAAGATGAAGCAATTACGTGAGAAAAGGAGTTCAATTGAAAAATGAATTTGTTTTATTTTATTTCTTTAACTGTTTGATATAAACTAAGCCGAGTAGTGTTTTTCTTTTGAAAAAAAAATGAATGTCTGTGAAAGAATGAAAAGTTTTTTATTTGTATAATATTATTTTATTGAAGATTGTGCGATTAAAAATAGGAAATGGAGAAATTTAAATTAAATTGATGAGTTTTAATGAGGAGCCAAACGAGGGCTAATTTGAATTCTTTAGTAGAAACCAATCTAAACTCTTCGGTGGAAATCAAGTTGAACAACGATTTTGCATAATTTTTTTCTATAAATACATACCTTAGTTAAACAATTAAAAAGAGCTTGTGGAATTGCATTATATACATATATTAAAGCCAAGGCTTCAGGTTTCATTGTACATATATTACTAACAATCATCATCCGCTTCAAATTTGACGACATCCTTCTTCATTAAAGTCACACAAAGAGGCGTCGTGTGCATTTTGTTTAATTCAAATAGATGATTCACTTCAGTATTAGAAGTAACCTTCATAGGTGGAATTGAAATGGATGAATGCTCGTTAAATTGAAATCTTAGTTCCATATCGTACTCTGAGGAATCGACATTCAACTTATTTTGTAAATCATAGTACATTTCCACGTACAATGTACTCTTTGTTATGGAAATTGGAATACCACCACGTATATTACTTGTCCATTTCCATACCCATCGATCATTTCCATCCAATTCAAAATCACCAAAGTAACAAACCGGGATTACAACCATATCTACAAGATAAAACAAAGTTTTAATTATAAGAAAAAATAATTAAAAATTGAGATGCTCAACCACAGTGGTAACATAAATTTATTTGAAAAAATTGACAACCGATTGGGCCAACCGTTGACGGCCAACTATGTAATTGCCAACCGTTAGCTTTTACGACTAGTTGTTACTGTCGATCGAAAAGAATTCATACATGCAAATAATTTTTTTTCTTATTCACGCTTAAAAAAATTATAGATCTTTTAAAAAAAATTTATCTACATGTTAATATATGTCAAAATATAATTTTACTATTCCAACCGTAATTTTTGACTTATTCTCTTATGGACCTCATTTTTCTTCTAACGGTCAAAAAATTAATTCTCAAACGGTAACTTAATAATTGAAATCAGATTCAAAACAAATGAAAGTAACCATGGAATTTCACTTTTTTGGTACTCATAATCCAAAATGGAGAAAAACCGACTTCACATAAAATCTCTTAAGGGGCCGTTTGACCCATTATTTGTAGATTATAATTTGATAAATAATGAGGCTCAAACGGGGGCTAAATCTCCTTCTTCTATGTGGGAATGAAATAAACTGGAAAGCTATGAAAATCGGAGTTTGACATCTTCCAAGCTTCAAGTAATCACCGTACACTACAAAATTATAACACCATAATCTAAAGAAAAGCATTGATTTGGTAAAATTACTTTATCTTTATACTCTGAATTAAATCCTAAATTCGCATCAAGATCTAGTCTCATCAGCAATCCACAATAAAGGCTCAATTAGGTAGTGAAATAACGAATAAAAAATTAATTTTTTAAGATGAAAAGTTGCTACGAAATAGGGAGTAAATAACACACACACACACAAAAAAAAAAACAAAAATATGTATGTGTTTTGATTGAAAAAAGATTACCTGTTGGCTTTTAGGAAAATCTTCCTCTCTTCTCCCTCACAGTAAGCGCCTCCTCTACTTGTTCGGCCCCTTTGGTATAGGCTGTGGCTCCATGAGTGAACAACGATCGCCATTTAAGCTTTTTCTTCCAAAATAAAGTGCGCGCCTGTTCCCAAATTTTGAGCAATTTTTGTACTGTTGCCCGAAGTGTGTGTGAGTCTCCGCGTCAGTAGGAAGTCAACAAAGATGACTGTAATGATGTAGCTACGATCAGAAAAGTGGGAAAAAGCATGTAAAGAATCAAAAAAGACAGGGACAAAGGCTATTGGTGGGGCCCACGTGTGTTTGTTTTTTCAATTATGCTAGCTGTTTTCAATTTGATATTTGAATACATAGGCTCCGTTTGGTACTTTTTTTTTTTTAAATATATATTTTTTTTTTAATCATATATTTTTTATTAAAATAATATTACACGTAAATCAAAAAATTTTCCTTATTTTTCAACCACATATTTTTCATCAATTTACTATTTAAAAATATATTTTTACATAAAAATATCTCCCAAACACTCTCGTAGTAAAATTGAGGTCACTGATTGTTTTTAAGTGTTGAAGAAATTAATGTCACATGTTACAATATACACTAAACTGGCAACTAGAACGCATGTATAGCAAGATTTTTGTTTTTTTGGGCGGCTCTTTTGTTTCTAAAAGTTAAATTAAACTATTAAATTAATAACTATATTTTAATAAAATAATATTTAGGTATGAACCCATAAATTTTTGGGCTGTGCTTGCACAGCACCCTGTGCGCAGAGTGTGAGACATGGGCGTGGACAAATGTGCAAAGAGAGTTTTCCTAAATTTTTTTAACTATACTCTTTAAAAGATCACTTTCCATAAAAAAAATTTAATAATTGAATGAGCTAAAATGTTTATTTTTCTTATCACCATTTTCTTGAAAATTTAAGGGTGCGATTGGCTTCCATTTTCATTTTTAAAATGATTTTTAGATTTCTCCGAAAACAGTTCGTTTTGAGCGTTTTTGACATTTATAACTGAAAACGCTAAAAATTCGTTTTGCGTTTTCAGTTATAAATTTTAACTCGTTTTCGAAAATGCGTTTTCGAAAATGACGGACCAAACGCGTTTTCTACATTTTCGAAAATGAAAAATGGAAAATGGACCGAAAACGACAAATCAACCACGGCCTAAACTTTTGGCATAAAAAATAACAATAGTGGTGTGCCCTGTCCGTAAAATAAACTAAGAATCATGGTACAGCATTGTTCACATCATGATTCACAGCGTACTCACATACAAGGAGTGGGGTTCACGATTAAGATAATCATGGACCTCACTTACAAGAGTCCGACATGGACTGTACAAACAATAATACTCATAAAGTCTTTCAACCATTCAATCACTTTTTGGTCAATGGTGGGCACAATATCCAAGAAAAGTAAATTACTTTAAAGACGTAAAGAATTTCGCAAGGAACAGAAACATTAAGCCCATGTTTGGCCCCCATTCTTATCTCATTTTCATTCTCATTCTTTTTTCTCTCTCTTGTTTTCAACCACACAATTTTTCATAAAATAATATTATATACAAATCAAAAACTTTTAATTCTTTTTCAACTACACATTTTTCAAAAAAATACTATTCAATCCATTAAAATTAGCTAAGAATGGGAGCCAAGATCAGCATGTAATCATATTACCCATACAATAAACAAATCTTTGATCAATAAATCCGTTGGTCCATGTTTTAGCCCCCATTTGGCCTCATTATGTGGAAATGAAAATAAGTGAAATAATATTTTTTTAGAAAAATGAGTTATTGAAAAAGAAGAATTTTTTTCGATTTACGTGTAATATTATTTTATGGAAGATTGTATGATTGGAAATAGGAGAAAGAAAAATGAAATGTAATAAAATAAAAATTAATGGGGGCCAAACTGTGCGTTATTGATTTCGATAGCACGCAAATTGATTATCTCTCTATTACTTGATTTATAAATCAATCAAAAAATTTTAAAATCGATAAATGGAGAATGGTAATCTTTAAAGGAAAATCAATAATTCTTCAACTTTGCTCTGATTCCAAATGTAAGCAATTAATCCTAATGCCAAGATCTTAGAATTCCATGATTTTCACCAGTAAATTTAATTGATCAACAAAATACACATTGACCAATGATAATTACTTGAAGATTTAGACTTGCAAAAATAATATAAAAAAGAAAAATAAGAAACCGTTCTCTCACTTTACTTTTCTGAAATTGAATGTTTAATTTGATGGGTTCCGTTCACGTATATAGATAGAGAGAATTAGTTTCCTCTATGCCATAAAAACTACTCACTTTCCATCAAAGTGAACAATTATAAAATTGCCACTATCAATGGGACAATAGAATTTTAGCACAATAAACTACTTTAATTAATTTACTAATAATATTACTTGGGCCACATTAATTGATCTCACATGTATTCCTTTCTATTAAATTACCCAAACACAGGTGTTTCAACTTCAATTTGCAAAAATCACGTGTACAAGTTTTTTAATCAAAATTCAGGTATGACATTAATAATTAAATATTATATCCATCCCTACCTAATCCCATACATACAAACCCTATCATTTGTTTTGTCATTCCCGTCTCTCTCTCTCTCTCTCTCTCTCTAACCAATACCTTTGCTACTATGCCGTTGAAGAGCCTCGCAGCCGGAGACACCTCCAAGCACAGCTACGAGGTCGACGTCACTACTACAGTCGATGGGGGAGACTCTCCGTTGCTACAATAGCCCGTGCCACTGCTACAATCAATAGCCGATATGGGGGACCACCGGAGAGCGCTACCGATGACACCACCGAAAAGTCGTCACTGGGAGCGTCGTCGATGAAGCCATGCATCCTACCTCTTCTCATTCTCTCTATTGTAGCCGTTGCATTTACCTGGGAGTGTGAGCACCGCTTCTCTTCTGCTCACTATAGCGACTGTTCATGGTTTCACCAGTATGAGCATCGATTCGTGGTTTCATCTACGTCGCCGATTCGTGGTTTCACCGGTGGGAGCGCTTTTCTTCTCTACTCACCTTTTGCCGGTCAACGTTGTAGGTGTGGTATGGTGTGGTGGCAGTATTGTGTGGTGTGGTGTAGTAGATCTAGGTAGCGGTGTGGTGTGGTTTGGCGATCTGGTGGCATGAGTACGATCTGGGTGGTCGACGGTGATGCACTATGGTGGTTGTGGTAGTGGCAGGTTTGTAGATTATTTGGTGGGGGTGGTGGTTGCGTGTAGTGTAAATGGAGATAGAGGAGATAGTGGTGGTGGTGTGCTATGGGTGGTGCGGTGTGCGGTGGTGGTGTGTTGTGGGCGTGGTGGTTTGGTGGTGTCACAGGTACGGTGGTGGCTGGAGACGATGGTGCTCATGTTGGTGAGGTGATGGTAGTTCTAGAGATGGTGGTGCCCAACTATTATTGTGTTGTTGATGATGTTGGTGGTGGTTGTGGTGGTAGTGACAAGTGGGCTATCTGTGACCAACAATTAGGTATCTGTGACCAATTATTTAGGCATCTATGACAAATGATTTAGGCATCTGTGACAAAAAATTAGTGGTACGATGAGGGTGGTGGTGTTATTGCGGTTGGTGGTATTTGCTAGCGGTGGTGGTGCACTGTGGATGTGGTGTGGTGTGGTGTGCGGCGGAGCCGTGGAGGTGGTGCTTGTGGGGTGGTATTTTTGTTGGTGGTGGTCTGTGACCTTAAAATTTGGTCCATAATCTGTGACGTCAACGATTTGATCTGTGACTTTAAAATTTGATAATCTATGACTAATAAATAATTTGTGACCTATAAACATTTTGATTTGTGACGTCAAAATAATATGTAATCTACAAAAATTTTAATTTGTAACCTTGAAAAAATTCGTAACCAATTGATTTGATGATATGTGATCAGTAAATAAATCTGTAACCATAATTGTGAAAATGTTACTAATCATGTAACTATGATTTTTTTATATTTAATTAATAAATATTTTTAATTAATTATACAGAAACCTGAGTTTTGAATTTTTAAACATTGTACGTGATTTGTGAATTGGTGTAAACCATACACCTTACAAATGAATTTTTCCCTTTATTATTCGCTATTAACACTAACATGTAGATTTGTATGAAATGGACCATACATTTCTCGAAACTTTTATCTTGTACAATTGTTAAAGTTTTTAGAATATAGAGCCTGTTTAAGCCCATTATAATTTAAGAATGCATTTTTAAATAATAGATTCATGGAGAATGTGTAGTTAAAAAAATAAAAAATTTTAATTTACGTGTAAGATTGTATAATTGAATAATGTGTAGTTAAAAAGAAAATAGAGAAAAATGTATTATGAAAATAATGAGGATCAAACAAATGCAAAATATCGAAATAAATTGAAATTATAAATTCAAATCTTAATTTAATGAAATTTCGCACGTATTATATTTTGATGAAGATAAATAAACTCCACCTGCATATGAAGAAATATGTCGAAGACGATATTCAAATTACAATTGTGCTATATTTATATCACAACTTATAGATTAAATTTATCAACAAATGATGTAACAAGATTTGATTGAGTCAAAATCTTAACAACCAAATTTAAAAAAAAGAATCATCTATCTTTTTGCCATTAACCAACATTACATAAGCAAAACACTTGAAGTAGTGAAGATATTTTGACAATTTTTATTCATTTTATCACTATCTCATCAATTTGCAAAAGAATTTGTCAATGGTGATATCGAACAAGCATTTTTTTTTTTTAAATTATAGACATATGATACCTTTAATAATTTAAATTTTTGACGTAGCGAAAACTTAGAGGGAAAAAAATATCACGAAACCTCAAACTTGTTGATTCGAAATATCAAATAACAAGAAAGAGAGAATAATTTTGAAAACTTCTCAAAAATCTTTATTAAATTCAAATTCAACTAAATGTCATAAGAGCTTATAAGTCGTATTTAAGGCGTTAAATAAAATATAGATAATAATAATTAAACACCTAGATAATGACAATTTCTAGATAACGATAAAAATAAAGATAATGACTAACTTTAAAAGGAATTAAGCCCTTGTTTGATTTTAATTACATTACATTCTATTTTTCTCTCTCCTATTTTCAACCACACAATCTTCCATAAAATAATATTATACGTAAATCGAAAATTTTTCTTTCTTTTTCAACCAC